ATCGTATTTTAAAACGATGGATAAATCAGGTATTGAATAGTGTTGATGGCAAACCGAAATTAAGTGACAGTCTGATACTTGGTACGTCGTCTGCTGCTGAGTTCGACTACGAGCTTGCCAAAGCCACACAAAAATTTACGTTTAAGCATAACAATGTACAACTCATTAAAATTTATTGACAAAAGATGCTAACCTCTTAAGTCTTGTTACCAAAACAGCATCAATGCGTGCATGAAAATGTTTTGACAAAACTATAAATGGCTTAATTTTTGTACGAATACTCTCATATTTTTGTAACAAAACAGAATTTCAAACTTGATATATGCATACTAAATTTGTAAAGCGTAGCTGTCCCAAAATTATTGTAAAATTTAGGAACTTCTTTGTTATCAATTTAGTATTGCAGCTGTTAATCGAATTAGCAAAGAATAGATTAATCCTACGCAAATCTACAGCTTTCGCTTTCAAAAAATATATAATATACAAAATCAATATATCCTCATTTCCTTCCGTTTGAATAATAAATATTGATTGAGACAGTGTCCCCTGTTACATGGGCGGAAGTACTGTCTCCGGCAAACACACAATAGAAAGAAGCAACGGTTATAAAACATAAGAGATTCACGAGCATTTATTAGTTAAAGACGAAATCACGCATAGAGAAGTAGACCTGAAACTATATCTTGATATTGTTCTAGTCTTGCATCAAATGTAGCGATGTTTACGTTCTAAATACGAAGTTTCTAATTTATCGTATTAGAACATATGTATAGCCTGATAATAGATACCTTTTAAGAAAGTATCCGACAGGTTTAAAATATAAGCGCATTTCATACTGACTGAGAAAAAACTTGCAAATTAAAAATTTATATGACCACAAATGATTAAGAAATAAACGAGTTTCATACAGTACGTCATGGCATATACCAAAATAAAATCATACGAACTTGTCAATAGGGAATCAAGCAGACAAAAACAAAACAAACATTTATATGAAAGTTAACTGATGAGTAAGGACTACTCATGAAGAAAATTATGCATGCAGATCTCGTTTCTTAACTGGCATCTTATAGCATAAGTATTGAAATCAGGGGATATTTTAAGGACAGACTCAGTCTGTATGTCTACATATTCCACACCCTTATCTTCGTCACTGGCATGCTTTATACCCCATAGTCTCACAACTTTTCTCGTAATGGTCTTGTTTCATGCCAGCTACAAACTAAATAGACATACGAGAGCAGCATATCTCTGTGCCTCTTTGGAAGCAAAATCATGTCTAGTTTTCAGTCTTTCAGTATACTTATTGTTACCTTATAGATTGTATTTGAGACTGTAAGTAAACAGTTGGCATCAGTAGCTAATTTTGGATGCGTCTTGAACACCAGAGGATACGGGGCATATCCCATAATGCCATGATTTGTAGCATTATCAGCATTGATCAAAACAAGCAACATAGGACTTCCAGTCAGCTTTCCGGCTGTTCCCAATATGCCCAGTACATTTTGTTTTAAACTCTTCATGGAGTGATATGTAACAACGATAGTCTTTTCAACAATAGCAAGTTTACACAGTTCCTTGATGAGTGTGTTTTCAATGTTTCATCACTAGACACTGTGTATCCTCAATGGGAGTCAAGAGTGTACTAAAACTTTTCTAAACACAACTTTGGGAGTAGTTTCTGTAGTCTGCTTTTTAGCAAGCACTGCATTGACATATCTAGTGAAAGAAATGGTCTGTCATCACATGGATATGTTCATTACCACCCTTAGACATTTCAGGTGATAGGAAATCTAGACAGAGTCCATAGGATGGGTGGCATGAATAACGACCAACTCCACATGGAATTTCTTTCACATGAACCGAAGATATGTTTAAAGGTTATGCCGCATATCCGCCTCTAGTTCTGCCAATTAAATCTCCATTTAGCCAACGACAGGGTTCTGTCACTGCATGCATCATTATGTAGTCCTTTCAAAGTGAGGTCACAGTATGTAAATGGCAATACAAGTTGACGAGTGGTGTTTCTTTGGATATTGTGAATTTGGTAAAAAAAAAAAACTCAGCTATAAAGCCCACGTTGTGTTCACTCTCGGAAAAAGGGTCTATCGTCAAGAGTGTCCTCTTGAAATTACTCCTCGTAGAATGTCATTCCAAGTCAGAAACAAATTTATTTCTCTGTCGTGGTAATTTGTTTAAACCATGTTTTGTTATTAGTTGGCATGATCAAAGTCTATGGCTGTTTAGTATCTAAATGAGAGGTACTGAGTTAAATAAAATTAAACGTTGACCTTGGATTAGGTCACTGACGATGATTCACGATTAATTAGACTTCCAAAAGGATACGTCTTTATTAGACTTTCCAAGGGATACTTCTTAATTAGACTTTCCAAGGGATACGTCTTAATAAGACTTTCCAAGGGATATGTTAAATCTTTCATTCCATGATTTGCTGGTATTCCTTCCTCACAAAATTCAAAGCATTAAAAGATTATGCACAAAACACAAAAAAAAATGCTCGTTTTATCAACGAAGTTTTATTCTAATAGAAAGACGGTTCGTTTTAAGATGGCGTTTGATTTAACATGAGACCGAGTGGAAGTTGTGAGAGGTAATGCATTTATTTAGGATAATCGTACTGAGTGGAAGGTACGAGGAATAATATTAATTTAGGATAATCTTAATGAATGTAAAGGCATGTGAGGTAATGCATTAATTTAGGATAATCTTACACTTAGTTAATTTTAGCTCTAAAATTCTGAAACTGGGTTTATAGAAACACATTTTTATAGCACCTGTATTATTTTATAAGAAATATGAAAATGTAATGGGCAACAATTTTGAGATCTTCTTTCGGGAAGGGGGAAGGCATGTGTTCCTGAATCACAATTTTTAGATGAGGTTTTTTTAAATTATTGTTTTATAATTTATTTCTCCTGTTAAAGGTGAAAATGTATGTAATGCATTATTGCTAATTATACATCACACCAACGAATAATAGCATTAGTAGTTGTTATAATAATAATAATAATAATAATAATAATAATAATAATAATAATAATAATAATAATAATAATAATAATAATAATAATAATAATAATAATAATAATAATAATAATAATAATAATAATAATAATAATAATAATATTAACAATAATAATAATAATACAAATAATAATAATAATAATAATAATAATAATAATAATAACAACAACAACAATAATAATAATAATAATAATAATAATAATAATAATAATAATAATAATAATAATAATAATAATAATAACAACAATAATAATAATAATAATAATCATAATCATAATAATAATAATATTAACAACAATAATAATAATAATAATAATAATAATAATAATAATAATAATAATAATAATAATATTATTATTATTATTATTATTATTATTATTATTAATATTATTATTATTATTATAGACTGTGGTGAACTTAATATTACGAATGTCATAATAACTCCATTGGAAGTTGGTACTCTACAATCTGATCCGTCGAGCGATATAAATTGTACAAACGACACTGTTATCGTCCTGCATAACTATGCCAAGGACCCAGTGTTTGAGTTGAAATGCACCGAATTTGGCTGGAACTATAATTTCTACTCTAAGACAGGTAAAGTAATAGTTATAACTCTCTCTCTCTCTCTCTCTCTCTCTCTCTCTCTCTCTCTCTCTCTCTCTCTCTCTCTATATATATATATATATATATATATATATATATATATATATACATATATATATATATATACATATATATATATATATATATATATATATATATATATATATATATATAGTCCATGGTCCATTTTATGTTTTTTTTTCGAATTTAGAATTAATTAGGAAATGTTTAAGATTTATTAGGCCTTTTAAAAGAAAATGTGAGTTTGCTTTTTTTGTAGCGATTTAACACTTGCTTTACACGATTATTTTAATAACTCTGTTAAAGATGATTTAAAATCATTGTTATTAGAAATAATCTTTTTTATCTTTTTTGCTTGACTGTATGGTATCCCGTTTTTATATGATTGAGGATGACAAGAAGAATATTCAACATATTGATGAATATTGTGGCATAAAACTTCATAACGCAAGAACCAATAATACTTTTCTATGGCTTTTCAACTTATTTATTCAAAGAATTTGCCGACGCATAATAAATAAAATGCAAAATAATGACTACACTGAAAACATAATTTCAGCACCTATTCACTAAATTACTATATCACAGTTTTTACTCTCATTTTCTTGAATTAATTCTGCTGATAATAAACGGAGTTGTTAATGTGCAGGTATACTGCAACATAAACAATTGAATAGACAGTAACTAACTTGACAAGAATCTAACCAGTGGAATGCCAAGGGGGGTGGGGACATTGCTGAAGGCAACAGACAACACTTAGCAAAACATTTACTATTGCATGTTTATATCTTAGTCCTGAGGGGATTTCAAGGCGTCATGTTCGGTAGCTCATATGTATAAACGTTGTCTTTAAAACCGAGAATTTATGCAGTACAAAGTTTCGATGCGGAAAATATTCTCTATAACTGAAAACCACTTCATTATTTAAATTCGGCTACTAAAACGTAGATGAGACCTAGTAGATTTACTCCTTGTTTGAACCGAACGCTTAAATAGTGTTTAAAACACGACATGCCAAAATGTAAGGGGAACAAAATTATCTTGTACAGCCAGCAGACGAGACAGCACAATTGCAGTCTCCAGTATATGTGTGAGATTGTGTATTGTTAACGTAACTTGAAAACTTTTCAGTCATATTGATACAGTGTCTGCAGTGTGACAGCATATAGTGATGTCTAGCACTGGGACATCATGCTGCAGAAATGAAGCATGATGTCTCACCGAGTCGCATAATCGTGACACCAGGCCGATTAGTCCTAACACTAACCTCTTTATGCTAAGCGCCAAGCGAGGCGGCTGTTAGTACCATTTTGTATAAGTGTTTGGTATGACTCGGCCGGGGTTTGAACCCGTGACTTCCCGCATCCGATGCCGACACTCTAACCACTAGGCTACATGAGTGGTCTCAATCACCAGTAAAAGTGAAACAATGTACAACGAAAATGCAAGAGTGAATTGAAACATCTTATGGTACGGATAACATACAATTAGCTTGACACAGTTTATAATATACGTCACGTAAGGAACTATAAAGTCCGCGGAGCGTATAAAAATAATTTCTGCTTGAGAATCTTTTCCTTCTGAATGTCCTTAGAGCTGAAGTCCCAATAAACTACCTGAACGGATGGAAACGTAAGAAACTAATATGTTCGTTTTGTAAATAAAATTTACAATTATCTTCTTTCAAACACTTCAGTAGCTGGAAGTGTAATAGATTGAAATATTGATAGGTAAAGAGTTAGGTAAATAAATCATAATGAAGATTCTGTAGTAGATCAACAGGATTCAAAACAAATCAGAAAAGCTTACAAGCCCAGATAGTATGCCTTGATATTAGAATCGAACTGAAATAGTATAGAGGCACACCATTTAAACAGAATTATCATTAGAGGATTTAACGATGTTTAAATTCGTTCAATACATAAGAATTAATTAGTTGTACATAATATGCTGGAAGTTGAATTGATGATAACTATATTGATCCCATGCCTTAACATTTAAAATCAAATTATTGTCATCAATTAAATGTTCCACATATCGTTTATTCTTTTTCTTGAAACTATCATCTTGCCATAGAACCTCCTCTACAAAGATTATACCTATCATGGACTATGTAAGCATACAAATACGCTCCATTAGGATTTTATTTGCACCTGAAGACAATTCACCAGTCGATTACAAAGGTAGTGATGACATTAAATGTTGTGTAGAATCTGAAAATGGCGAACTACGATATCATCTAAACAAAATGTAAAACCTATCATATTCACGGAGGCGGTTGAAAACGGGTTTAATTCAATAAATACATTGCATATCTCTGAGAGAATAATATGGAAAAACAAAGTTTGTGAGTATGAAGGGGTTGCTGATAAGAAATGCAATTTATATTTTGAGTTACTATTCATTCACAACTAGTGAACACTTCTGCTTATTAAGACGCTTGCCATAAAATGATCCAGAAGAAGAGGATAAGAAACCATAGAATTTGATAAGTTCGCAATGGATTTTAATGAAAAAAACTGTTGTTCTGAGTTCATTGAACACTCATTAGAACTGATAGCGAAAAAGATTAATAATTAAACATTTCAAAGAAGCATTAGAACATTTTGGTGGCGTTACTTAAGACACATTGCGACATGCACTAGTGGTGTAATAAAATCAAAATACTGTGAATTCATTTTTTTCTAAAGCATGCTTTTTCAACGATTGAGGAGCGATCCCATTTTCGTCAGTACTGCAATTTATTCATTGGGGATAGATCCTATTATTTCGATGCAACTGGAACATCACGAAAAATAGCAAATTCAGAAGTTTGGATGAAAGACATTTTGCCAATATGAATGCATGAACAAAATTAAGACGGTACTAAAATAACATTGCCACTCTTATAGATTAGATTTAAAACGGTACTAAAATAACATTGCCACTCTTATAGATTAGATTTAAAACGGTACTAAAATAACATTGCCACTCTTATAGATTAGATTTAAAACGGTACTAAAATAACATTGCCACTCTTATAGATTAGATTTAAAACGGTACTAAAATAACATTGCCACTCTTATAGATTAGATTTAAAACGGTACTAAAATAACATTGCCACTCTTATAGATTAGATTTAAAACGGTACTAAAATAACATTGCCACTCAAATAAGACTTTTATTCATCAATTGCGTCTTAAAAAGATTAGATAAAATAACATTGCCACTCAAATGAGACCTTTACTCATCAATTGCGTATCAAATAGATTAGATAAAATAACATTGCCACTCAAATAAGACCTTTACTCATCAATTGCGTATCAAATAGATTAGATAAAATAACATTGCCACTCTTATAGATTAGATTTAAAACGGTACTAAAATAACATTGCCACTCTTATAGATTAGATTTAAAACGGTACTAAAATAACATTGCCACTCTTATAGATTAGATTTAAAACGGTACTAAAATAACATTGCCACTCTTATAGATTAGATTTAAAACGGTACTAAAATAACATTGCCACTCTTATAGATTAGATTTAAAACGGTACTAAAATAACATTGCCACTCTTATAGATTAGATTTAAAACGGTACTAAAATAACATTGCCACTCTTATAGATTAGATTTAAAACGGTACTAAAATAACATTGCCACTCTTATAGATTAGATTTAAAACGGTACTAAAATAACATTGCCACTCTTATAGATTAGATTTAAAACGGTACTAAAATAACATTGCCACTCTTATAGATTAGATTTAAAACGGTACTAAAATAACATTGCCACTCTTATAGATTAGATTTAAAACGGTACTAAAATAACATTGCCACTCTTATAGATTAGATTTAAAACGGTACTAAAATAACATTGCCACTCTTATAGATTAGATTTAAAACGGTACTAAAATAACATTGCCACTCTTATAGATTAGATTTAAAACGGTACTAAAATAACATTGCCACTCTTATAGATTAGATTTAAAACGGTACTAAAATAACATTGCCACTCAAATAAGACCTTTATTCATCAATTGCGTCTTAAAAAGATTAGATAAAATAACATTGCCACTCAAATGAGACCTTTACTCATCAATTGCGTATCAAATAGATTAGATAAAATAACATTGCCACTCAAATAAGACCTTTACTCATCAATTGCGTATCAAATAGATTAGATAAAATAACATTGCCACTCAAATGAAACCTTTTTCTCATCAATTGCGTATCAAATAGATTAGATAAAATAACATTGCCACTCAAATGAGACCTTTACTCGTCAATTGCGTATCAAATAGATTATATAAAATAACATAGCCACTCAAATAAGACCTTTACTCATCAATTGCGTATCAAATAGATTAGATAAAATAACATTGCCACTCAAATCAGACCTTTACTCATCAACTGCGTATCAAATAGATAAGATAAAAAACATTGCCACTCAAATAAGACCTTTACTCATCAATTGCGTATCAAATAGATTAGATAAAATAACATTGCCACTCAAAAAAGACATTTACTCATCAATTGCGTATCAAATAGATTAGATAAAATAACATTGCACCTCAAATGAGACCTTTACTCATCAATTGCGTATCAAAAAGATAAGATAAAATAACATTGCCACTCAAACAAAACCTTTACTCATAAATTGCGTATCAAATAGATTAGATAAAATAGCATTGCCACTCAAATAAGACATTTACTCATCAATTGCGTATCAAATAGATTAGATCAAATAACATTGCCACTCAAAAAAGACATTTACTCATCAATTGCGTATCAAATAGATTAGATGAAATAACATTGCCACTCAAATAAGACATTTACTCATCAATTGCGTATCAAAAAGATTAGATCAAATAGCATTGCCACTCAAATAAGACCTTTACTCAATATTTGCGTATCAAAAAGATTAGATAAAATAACATTGCACCTCAAATAAGACCTTTACTCATTAATTGTGTATCAAATAGATTAGATAAAATAATATTGCCACTCAAAAAAGACATTTACTCATCAATTGCGTATCAAAAAGATTAGATAAAATAACATTGCCACTCAAAAAAGACATTTACTCATCAATTGCGTATCAAATAGATTAGATTAAGATTACGGAATGTAAGTGATGTGATGACAAACGTCAAGCCTCAAACGTTGGCTAATTTAAGACAGGTACTCTGTAATTTGGTACGTATATACTTATAAAATTAAGTCATATGCAATGATTGTTAGTGTAAAACTTGTTAACACGTACCTTACAAACTTATGTGAGCTTTCTCGAGTTCATCCAATATGCCCAATGCCTCTGTAAACAGTTGAAAATGACAAAAATATCAATATAAATATTTGCGAATTTTAAAGTGTGTATCATTCTCTGTAGACTTTTATTTAAACTATTGGTTTATCAAGGTATTAAAATAGAATATTTTTCTAGCTTTAATTTTAATATCGTAAAAGTTTGCTATATTTTAACATTTGTAAAATAATTGTCCACCTTAATTCTAAACTGGAACGATTGTTTCAGGAACTATATTCGATTTACTTTCTGGATACTGATATATATATATATATATATATATATATATATATATATATATATATATATATATATATATATAAGGCAAAGGATATATATCTAAAATAATTACTAGCTTCATTAATTGATAAATTTATAATATTTAGTCCATTATACATTATTAAAGGAACTCAAAATTGTTTGCTTCTATTTCTTGTACTGGAATTTTATGGGGTTTAAAATTTCATATCTTCAGAATCAATTTTGATATTATCATCGATTCATATGCTCAATAACCCATGTGTTTTACTTGTAGTAATAATGTATAAAATGGGCTGTTGGTGCAAAAGACCCATGTGCAATATTCATGAGGGATCCTCAGTTGCACCATCAAGTCATGGAAACACTTTAACTGTACTTTAAACCTCTTCTTTCTGTATTCATGTTTATACTTCATCAATCAGTTTTGCTTCGCATACAAAATTTCAACTTGATTGGATCATTTGTTTTAGCACTTTAATTATAGTTGCCACTAGGTGTCAAAAAAGTTATATGAAGGCCGTGAAAACTGAATCTTCGAAGTTTATGTGTCAACACATTGTTATAGGCATACTTGGTCATATTTTATCTTGATTATGTGAAATTCTGTCTTAACTGATTTGGCTTTGATTAACTGCTTGACAATACATTATGACTCAAGGTTTTATGGTTTGACTATAATCGTACTAAAAATGTTTTCAGGGAAAACAACAAAATTTAATTTATATTACACGTCCTTTGATTGAAATTTTAAATTCATTAAAATGTCTACCTAATTAAATCAACATTTATTGATTTTCACTACATTTTACGATGTTTAAAATCTCACAGTCCAGCTCGTACTTTTCATATTATAATCAGT